TTTCTAAAATATATTGACCATATTTTTATTTATATCTGTATCATCTTTCATACCATTTGAATTGATTTGGAAGTGTGTGCTCAACCTATTATTTTGATTAGTCTTTCCCGTAAATAATTTAAAAACACCTTTTCTCTGTTATCTTCTTCAAATTTCTATTTAGGATTAATTATTTATACAGGCTTACATTGAAAAGCTGACAATGGAAAAGTATACGCTTGCTCATGTAGCTAATATGTGCATTACACGGAAAAACGGAGGAGAAAGCATACCAGTAGTTTTATCCAATAGTGCCGCTAACATTTAAATCTAGATTCAGAGTTCCTGGAAGAACTTCAAACTTCCTTGGGATAAATAATTTAAAGAATCAGCAGTGGAAGGTTGATTTTTTTTCTTGATTTACCCCGTACCACTCTCCCATGGCTACCCCACTGGACCCTGGAGACAGCGCGAGCGATTCTCCATGCTGACCCTTCTGTCTTCAAGCCCAGCCTCTCGGAGTCTTCACGGAGTAACGAGGGACGGGCTTCAATGCCCTGCTGCACGGGCAACTGTTCGGAGACCCCTGCAGGCTGTTCTAGGATTTCCAACGGCAGCTCACTGGGTGCTCTTGTTATTTGAAGCTCAAGATCAATGTTTGAGCTCCAGCACCTCCTCCTGAAATGCCAGTTAGGAATGCCAGGGCGAAAAGGCATGCTGTTCGCCTGTGTGCGCGCGCGTGCACGCCAGTACACTCATCGACCTGTGGGCCGTAGCTCTGCAGTAAGAAGTTAGTTGGTATTTATTGAATATTGCGGGCAGGTCTCTGAAGTCATATGGACTTCAGATTACATATGGAAATATAAAGAGCTCATAGACATTTGTTCACTTCACCATCGCGGAGCTGAATTTGGATTAAAAGCTCTCTTTCATCCTTGAAAATACAACCTGTCCTGGACCAAATGTTTGCGTCCCCCACAATTCCTGTGTTGAAATCCCCCCTCTAAAGTGATGGCAGAGAAGGCGGGGCCTGTGGGAGGTGATCGGGTCCTGCGGAGGGAGCCCCTGCGCATGGGATCAGCGCCCTCGCGAGAGGGACCCCATTGTGCTCGCTCGCCTCTTTCCACCACGTGAGGATTCAGTGAGAAGCCGCAGCCTGAGACCCAGAAGAGGACCCTCACTGGGAGCCCCCCACGCCGGCACCCTGAACTCAGGCTCCAGAGCTGCAAGAAATGCATCTCTGCGGTACGAGCCCCCCCGGTCTGCAGTGCTTTGTTACAGCAGCGCAGACTAAGACTCACCCCTAGTGGTGTTTTTAGAGGTAGAAATAGTGAAATGGTAATAGAACTATGGAAATACGATATAGAAGGGAACATCTGTGCCGTGTGCAGTTCGAAAGTAATACATAAAACTACCTGTTCTTTTTAAAAATGTGCGTGCGGTCTGAACCACAGGCCCTTCGCCCGCTGCCGCAAGGGTCGCGTAGGAGGACTGAGTGCTCCGCCTCACCCCCTCCCGCAGGTGTTTTAGCACGTTCCGCAGTGCGATTGCTTTTTTTGTTTATAAATCCCGTTCAGATTTTGCCCCACAAATATGCTATGAATGTTAACATTTTCTGTCTTTCTATATGTTCTAAAATATATGAAGTAAAAAATTAAATAGGAAAATGCATTTGGAGAGTTCCTCCACATCCTAATAAATCTAGCACATTGCCTATTCCTTGTACCTTTTTACTTAGATACATTATGTTTTAAAACATTTTAGCATATAAATTTAAATATCTGTGTAAAAGTAGACATGAACATATAATAAATTCCATGTACTCATCACTCAAGTTTAATGATTATCTATGGCAAAGCTTATTTCATCTATATCCCTGATATCTTCTTCACCCAAATTATTTTAAAGCCAATTCTATATATAGAATAAGTTCATTTTTAATTGATCAAAATTACATTATACTCTACTAATTAACATAAAAGAAAATGAGTGAAAGGTGAGAGAAGGGAAGGAGGGAGGGAGGGAGGGAAGGAGGAGAGAAGGAATTACTGAAGGACAAAAGATATGAGGGAGGTAGAGAAGGAGAAACATAGTTTGGTTGCTATTTTATTCCTGTAAGTGCATATTCAACTCAAGTTACAGAAGTTTGATCAGGTGCAAGTTAATTTGCTTTATTTTGGAAATGATCCCAGTTAATGAGTATTTACCTTCAGAGTTCAGTTCTGCTGCGAACCCATTGACCCCAGTTCCTGCGTACTTCAAACACTTTTAGATGGAATTCAGACTCGTTGGGATCATTCGATCCCACCCAGATGGGGGACTTTGTGGAACCAGAACCACCGTACTCTGGGTTCCCTTGCCACTTAAAACAAACAAAATAAAACTCCACATTTTTCTGGTCTTCGGTTTTATTTTATCTTGTTTTCACTTTGGCTAAAAGGCTTCAGTAAAGACAGAAAAATGTACAGCTGCAGAGATTAAATACCTGCACACAGCAGTGATCAAATCCTACCCACAGGAGAATTATCAGGAACCTTTCCTACAATCTCAGATACAGATGATCATTTTCTGACATCACAAATGCACGACGCCATTCTTGTGGGCGGTGGATGAGAAGGCTCTGGTTTGTCTTGCGCTGCGGCCAAGGCTGCTCTAACTGGACTCTGCTGACCTCCAGAGGGAGCCCCGTGGCAGCCAAACCTGAGGCTCATCTGCAGTAAAGGGCCCGCATCAGTTTGCACTGCCAAGGCACTGTGTATGGAGTGAGGCAATGTTTCTGATAAGCAAGACCAAAAGCTTGGTCTTCAATGAATTAAAGATCAATGGCAGCAATTCAGATGGTGAGTCCTCTTGAGAAGTAGGCACTTAACGCCATGTCAGCGCAGCCTCCTGAATCCACAGAACAAGTGTTCAAGCAAAACCATCTCTCATACAACCATTTGCATCTCCTATGTTTTACAAACAGCAATTATGGGAATCCAGCCCTCTGTGCTACCTGGGAAACTTGGAGCTAACACATACTGCAGCTTAGGCAACACAACTCCAGACAGCTGCAAAAGCCCACCTTTGACGGTGCTTATTGATAGACGTGCTGCATACGCCACAGTGAGATCCTGAAACTCAGTGTTCTCATGCAGTGTACCTTTGGTGCAAGGAACAAAATCTCCCACTGGATGATACAAAGGAATGGGGGAATCTGTTATTTAAAATCAATAGAAAATCAAAACTAAAGTCTCAACTCCAGTTTATCAGTCTTGAGTTAGTAGTGTTTGAGGACCATACTGAGGCTCGGCCGGAGCCCCATAGTTCTTGTTTGCATCGTGTGGACGGTCTTTTGTACTGTTCCTTGAGGATGAGAGTGATAAATGCAATACTACTGCTTTTTAGTTGTACAATCCTGGTCATTCAAAGCAGTCCGAAGACCTTCATAAAGTACGTATACTTTTAGATGAGATATCATAAACACTTTTGAAGTAAGGCAGATCATTATTTAAACTTGTATCTTAATGTATAATGCATGTGTTCCTGCTTTTTAAACATAGTTCCACCAAACAAAGAAAACCCTCCTATAAAATTAGTGCCATTTATACTATTCAGCCAAGCACTATGCTTTCTGAGCAATACATTCTAATAATAAAACACCAATTTTATTATTTCAGTATCCACCCCAAAAGCACCAGCTGATAAGATTGATGGTCTGTCTGTGCTGCCTCATTCCACTGTACCCTTGTGGGTGTACACAGACCCAGGTCAAGGAGAGAGTAGGGGGCAGAGGAAGAACCAGGCCTGGGAAACCGCTGACATCTTTTTGGCATCGCCAAGAGTTGATAAGGGAAGAAATTTGACTTTACTCAGATTCTAATTAATTTTTAGTCAAATTGCAAGTAAAAGTGCCAAATCTTATTCACTTGTTTCTTAACACAATCATACTTCACCTTCTGCGATCTGACTTCTTGCTTTTATTTATAAGCAAAAAGCCAAGTACAATGTGCACACTGTGAACTACTAACCTGGTGGTGTTTCTGAAGAGTAAGGACCATGGCTGGTTACAGCTGATGGATACTATGGCTGAAACATCTAATGTTATTCTATATGCTCTTGTGGCATAAAAAAGTATAAAAGAGCAATCACCCATTTCATGAGTTTTCATAGCTTAGAGTATGTTTGGCAAATCATTAATGCCTCAAAGTAAAATGAGGATGCCCACTCAGATCCAGCTAGGGAGTAAATTTTTAGTTTAGCACCAATTTCCAAATATGCACAGGAAGCTGCAGGATCCAAACATGAAGGCTAAAGAGCTCTGCCTTCCTCCTTTACTTCCCTACCTCCTGTTTAAATCTACAAATCGCTGTGAATCTTGAAGGGCAGAACCTACCACATTCATTATGACTTCAGGGGCAGTAAGCTCCCAAGTTAAATGAAAGCTGTTTGGGGGCTATTTTAAAACATTCATGAATATGCTATTATTTCAATGAAATATGGTTTTTCTGCACCAAAACCCCTCACTGGAAATAGCTTTGTCTTATGACCTAGAAGTAGCAATAGAAAATCTAAGGGGAAACAGAGCTAGATCTCTGCAAAGATAACGTTTCGTGTGTTTATTTTTCTTCCAGAACTCCAAATAGTTACATTGGCAGACAGGCTGCTCTATAACTAACTGCCCATCTCTGCAGAGTCTAAGGTGTTTACAGAAATTGAAAATCCCAGCAGTACATTTCCATGAGCTCATTTTTAGTACCAGTCATACCCTTCAGATTTCCTATGTGCAGACAAATAGCCATGCGGCATAAACCCCTGCTTTGAGCTTTTGTTTTAATTACAAACAAAGCAGCAGGAGCCAGATATGGGATTACTGTAATGTCAGGGCATCTTTTTAGAATCCCTGCTTTGGTCACTATTATTCAAAGCAATTCCAAAGCCATTTCTTGCCTGCCTCTTTATGCTAATCAGCCCAGCCCACTGGGCTCCTCCTCCTTCCAGACTCCCTTAAGAACTGTTCACTTTCAGCTGCCTAGGAGGGTAACGCAGACCAGGCTTAGAAATCACTTGATTTAACTCAGCAGAACTTTTTTCCCCCCTTGTGTATATATACATTACTCTAGCACTCCTCTCTAAATACACAGGGAGTTCGATTTCATATCAGCAGAAGGAATCAAAAAATGCTCAAACTGTAATCTGTTAGAAATAGTTCCTGTGTAGGATTTTATACTATAAGGGGGGGAAGTTTCAGTATGCTTTGAAATGAAAGAAGAGTTTTTATTCCAATGCACTGGCATCTTTATATGTAGGGGCAGTTATATTGGTGAATATTTAGTTTAAGAATCATGGCTGGGAAACACCTGGAGATTTATTAGAGAAGTGAATGCTTTACCCACAAGGACAGGACCTGGATGCACCTCTGTGGGTCTGGGTGTCTTGTGAAGAGCATTTCTGGTGACTGGCCCAGGAAAGGAAATGCCCTAGTGATACTGCAGCCGTAGTGAAACTGCCAGTACCATGTCTGCTATGCAAAGTGACAGCAGCAGCCACCTGTTCCACGGTTTGCACACCTGCAGGCTGAAGCTTCCGGGGGACGAGCAGCAGCAAGGTGAGTCAGTCAGGCTGAAGAGCTGTGCATCCTGCAACCGCCCCGTCCTTTGTATTCCTGGAAGAGTGGCAAGCTGGGGGCGTAGCTGGGGAATCTCTGGTTGTAAAATGCTTGACCGTCTTCCATTTTTAAGCTCTGAGAATAGTCATAATAGTGATGCATGAGAGTGGGTTGACTTGGATTCGCTATTGGTTTTTAAGGGGCTGTGGGATACGATTAAGAGTATATATTCTTTGGAGTTGTCATTCTGAAGCTTATGTGCGTAAACGTCTAGCCACTGTCATTTTTCTAGAATATGCTAGATTTTGTGTAATTCAAAGCTTCCTTCCAGGCGAGGCTGAGCCAGCTGCAGCGGCAGTTCGCCGAGAGCAGCTGTAAGTGAGCCTGGAACCCTCTCCCTTGTCCTGCCTTGAATGGCGCACTTTTAGACTCAGAGTTTAAGGTTAAATTTGTCTGGATCTCTGCCTTACTCATCTGTGGGCAAAATAAATATCTTCTTGGCTCTTTCCCTCGTGTGTCTGGGAGCAGCTGGAGTTGGGCTGGGAAAAGCCTCTCGTTTCACGTGACGTGGGCCCCCATTCAGACTGACCCATCTGCCTTGCGGCCATTTTCACTCTCAGTCTTATTAAAGTTTCAAGTCCACTGTCCAGCCAGCTGCCTCAGTTAATGGCAGGTGGTTGACAGGAGCAGACAAGATGATCCTGCCAATCCATTCTGTCAGGGACAGCAAAGGACACTTGTAGAAAAGGCTGGCTGCTGTCACAGATGACTCCTCGGCCTCCAGAGATGAAGGATTTACCCCAGACATGGATAACTTCTCAGTAACCTGTGATGGATCTGACCACGTAGGCGTCTGGGCCATGAGCTCTTCATTCATTTTTCCACAGACACAGGTTAGGTTTCAGTGGCATGGAGAGTGTTGGCTCAAGGACTGAAACCTCCTGTTTCCAAGGTGGCATCTGGGCGCTGCCATATGTGTGAATATATCAGGCCACTTCCCTGCACATGGACTGCATGCTGTACAAGGCTTAGCATAACGTGGGCAGAAAATACTTTATATTTAATAAAAGCAAAGAAAACCTTTAAGACCACACTGTGCCATCAAGGCTCATGTAAATTTGTTTGAACTAACTGCTTCACAATTAAAGTCCCGGCATGTGCCTGGGCTATACAGCATTCTTGCTCCCCTAGCAGTAGGCAATTCTAATTCATCATAGGTGTTTTGTTTGAAATATTTTAAAATGACGTGATACTTCTTATAAAAGGTTTGCTGGGGGTAGCATCAAGGAGATGGTAAAAATCACCACCCAAAGATAGTTGCTATTAACATTCGGATGGGTAGTCTTTTAGCCTTTTCTTCTATGCACCTGTACAGATTATTCGCTTGTGTGATTTTTAAATAAAAATAGATTTTGTACATGTTTTGTAAACTGATTTTTAACTTGAAAATAGATCGTGGACAAATTTCCATGCCATTACATATTCTTCTACGACATTATTTTTAACAGTCGTATATATTCCTTCACATGGATACAGCAAAATTCCTTTAGGCAATTCTCTACTGTTAGACATTTTATTGATTTCCAGTTTTTTACTATTACAAACAACACTGTGTTTAATATAAACTAATGGGTAAGTCATTCCAGAGACAAAATTATTTTATTGGGATCCATTCTTCAAGGTGAAAAAATATGCATAGTTTCAAGTTTTGGGGGATTTTTTTGGTTAGTTTGTTTGGCCAACTGGTCCTCCAATCAACTGCATAGGAATATATTCTCAGTAAAGTGGGTATTATTTTAAGAGTTCTTTCCCAATTTTATGAGCAGAAAATAGTGTCCCTTGTTGTTTTACTTTAAGGCAGGCTGTCTTGCTGGTCCCTCCCTTACTGGCCCTGTCCAGAGCAGCCTGGAAATATCATTACGATGACATACTTCCCAAAATACCAACAAGACCAAAAGTCTGATCTCCTTTCTCAGACTGGAGCTTTTGCCCAGAATGTTTTAAAAACAGCCATATTCTTCCACAGCCGACTCTCAAAATATCTGCCCACGTAAACCACAATACATAAAGTTTTGAAGCACACTAATGCAACCCAGACTGACAGTTGACGGCTACAAGAAATGTCACCGAGAAATCTGAGATGACAAGTGACCACGGGCAGTGTTTGTTACATTGTTAAATAGCATTACAGTGACTGTTCTTGAGTTTAAAAGTATTCATTTGGGGCAGTGACCCTGATTTTTCCTCTAAGCTGTATTTGCACTTGCTGTCATGCAAAGTTCAGAAAAGTTCAAGGAAGCAAATCCGTTTGTTTCAGAGTGAGTTCTGGCTGTGGGTTTATTCACGGAGACATCTGGGTCAGTGGCTTTGCTCCCCTGAGTCAGCCCGAGGTTCCAGACCTTTCATTCCACACACAGACCCTGATCAATGGACATTCAGCTCTTCAAAGGGCATGACCAGACTTAAAACAGACATCCTTTTCCAATGTTAATTCTGAGGTAGTAGACTCTTGCCACCTAGTCACTCACAGAAATGTACTTTTGGGGTGATCATATAGATAAAAGTTACTTATTCTTCAGCAATTTTCAGGACAATGACTATGCAATGCGTCAGTGCTGGATGTGCTAGTTGAACTAAGCCAGCTAAGCTGTGGCTTCTACTCCACATGGAGTTCCATGCTAAGGCAATGGACACTGTATCAGAAGTTCGGTAGGCTCACTCCCTACTTGTTGCTGTCTTGTAGCTTCTTCTTTAATATTTTAAATCCATTTATCTATAACATTGATGTAGGACCACATCTATAAACATTAATTTACATGTCTATAAAGTCTCAACAATCTTCAGTACACATTTTATGTTCTAGGCAGACATAACCATTCTTATGTTTTATAATGCTTAAAATTTACAAAGTGGTTTCAAATACATTGCCTTGTTTAATTCTCATGACAACCAGGTAAAGTAGTGTAGTAGTCACAGTTCTCCAGAGAAACACAGTTAGTAGGGGGTGTGTGTGTGTGTATGTGTGTGTATGTAGAGAGACAAAGATATATATGAGAGAGAGAGAGATTTATTTTAAGAAATTGACTCAAACGATTATGGAGGCTGGCAAATCCAATATCTGGACACTCATGCAAAGGGCCAACCAGTGTTGCAGCTGAAGTCTGAAGGTCGTCTGCTGGTAGAATTACTTCTTGCTCAGAGCAGCTCAGTCTTTTGCTCCAGCCAGACCTTCAGACGTTCAGCAGGTTGAATGAGGCCCACCAGCATTATGGAGGGCAATCTGCTTTACTCAAAGTTCACCGATTTAAATGTAAATCTCATTCAAAAAGACCATCACAGAAACATCCAGGATAATATTTGACCAAATATCTGGCTCTATGGTGCAGCCAAGTTAACACAAAATTAGCTATTACAAGTGGGCATCATTATCCTCATTTTTAAAAATGTGGAAACTGGGAACACTCAAGGTCAAGTAATTTTACCAAGGTTATGTAGTTATTAAGGGTTACTTTTAATGCATTTTTTGCTGCATATAGCTGTCTTATAAATCTATGATTCCTAGTGTTAAAATTTTTTTTTTCTTTGATCCATATCAGAGAAAGTTCTCTGCAGATACTGAAGATGTGTTGGGTTTCCTCATGATCTCCTTTGTGTGCTCTGACACCAATTCTCTGACACCAGCCGGGTTTCCTACAATTCAATTTCACTCTGACACTACCCAGAGTCAGTGAAGACTCCAGAAGTTAAGGGCTCGGTCTCACCAGACTGCCCCGCTGCAAATGCCAGCTACGAATTTCAGGTGTCTCCAAGCCACCTGCACTTTCGTCTGGAGATCTACAAATTCAAGGCTTCCCCTAACTCTCTCAGGTTTGATAGTTTGCTGGAACAACTCACAGGGCTCAACAAAGCTCTGTACGTATAAGCGCTGTTTTATTACAAAGGATACAAGTGAACAGCCAGATGGAGAGGTACAGGGGGAGAGGTCCAAGGGGGTCACAGGAGCTTCTGTCCCCACGAAGTCAAAGCCCACCACTCTCCCAGTGCCTCGGTAAGTTCACCAACCAGGAAGCTCCACTAAGCTCAGTGTTCAGAATTTTTATATGGGATTTCATGACTTAGGCTGCTTGACACAAATCATTGGCCACAGCTGAATCAATCTCCAGTTTCTTCTCTCCCTGGAGAGCCCGGGTAGGGCTGGAAGTTCCTGCCCTCGAAATACTTGCCTGGTCTTTCTGGTGTGTCCAGCTCTTCCCTTGAAACAGTCCAAGGGCCTCCTGTGAGTTACCTCAACAGCATAGCAAAGACACACAACTATTGGTCCAGAAATTCAAAGGGTCTTTGGAGTTCTGCGCAAGAAATGGGGGGACAAAGACCAGATATAGTCTTCACTATATTACACTTCAGCCATGAATTTCTGGATATGTTCTGTATTTAATATCAAGAGTTTTCTGCAAGTCATGAAATACAGATTAATGCCCTCAACCATTTATTTATTCAATAATTCCTGCCCTCATCCATTTATTTATTCAGTAATTTCTACTGAATACTGACAAAGTGCCGGATGCTATATCTTAGACACTGGAAATGTAAAGATGATTTCTGCCGAAGTTTTCAATCATGTCTTTTCTGAGGAATTCAGCAATAACAAGTAAGCTAATGATACTTTTCCAACTTTTTGGGAGAAGGAAAAAGTGATTTGATTTCATAATATTCTGACCTTAGCCATACCCCTCTTGTGGGTTTATGACGACACAGAATCTAGCTGAGAACGTAGCAAATATAAATATAAAAGCTAAGCAGTGACTGTTTACTGCCATGAAATTTGCTCTGAATCTAAACCATAGGAATCAAATTGAATTTAGATTGTTTTGAGTGCACTACTTGCCTTGAATACATTCTGTGCACATTCATGACTGTACTTAATTTAGAACTTCTAAAGAATTTAGGTGTTGGGGGATGAAGATACAGCCATAAGAAAGGGAATCCATAAATGCTATATA